TATATATATATATATATAGTATACATAGTATCATACTATAATATATACATATAATATATATGTACATATATTATAATATATAGTACATATATATAATACTAATTATATATTTATCTACTATATTTATCTAAAAAACATAAAAGGTTTCTAAAAGTGGAATCATATATATAAAAATATATATAGTATACGTAGTATCATACTATAATATATAGTGCATATATATAGTACTATAATATATTTATCTAAAAAAGATAAGACGTTTCTAAACGTGGAATCATATATATAAAAATGTGTGTAGTGTACACAGTATTATACTACAACATATAGTATTAAAAAGAAATTATAGTGACACAAAGTAGTAAAATAGAGAATATATAGTACAGAATAGTATAGTAAAACGAGCAACTTTCTTCTAGTCAAAAAAAAAAAAAAAAAAACGATCGGAAAATGCACTCACCACGCCTGCGAAGACGGTAACGCTTGAAAGAAATTTCAATTTGCCTTAGAAATACCGATAGAAATGTCCATTGGGGTAGACCGTCATTGAAAGAAACGGAGATAAGAAGGAAAGTTTAAGCCGGTCTCAATTAATTTTCTCCATCGGATATTCGTCGATTGCGACGCGACTGTAGCCAATCGATCTCTCTCTCTCCCGATCCACGGTCGCTGAAATCTCATTTGCTTGTTCTTATAATCAAAGCGCCTCCGATCATCATTGTCTCCGCACGTTCGTTTCGTTTCTCGATCATACGACGGCGCGTTCGATTACGTCCCTCCCCTTATTATTTGCTTAATCCCCTTAGGCTTTAGCTCCCTGCGTCTGCGTTCACGTTCACGTTCCCGTTTACATTTACGTTCGTCCTGATCGTCCTTTTTTGTTCAGTGAAATTCAATTGCATTTCTCCTGCCCGAAATTACAACGTCTTATATATTGTAATTTAGTGATATTAGTAACAGAATGGGATATAGTTTACATGAATAGGATATATAGTAATAATACAG